CGGTGTGGTGTCGGCCATGACGTGCATGGTGAAGACCGAGAGCCCTGTGCTGACCAGTTCCTGCAGGGAGCTGCTCTCCAGGTGAGCCTGCCCCCTGCCCATCAGCCTCCCCGCTGCTGGTGAAACTACAGGGGGAGCCCAGGAGGCAGTGGGCTCCTGGAACAAGAGGGGCCACCCACCTGGCAGTCTTCCTTTGCTGCACCTGGGAGCGGCAGCGGAAGCTCTGCCCGCCAGAGCCCTGACCCGCCCGCCCAGCTCGGCACTCTCCCCGCAGGGTCTTCCTGGCTTTGGTGGAAGAGGTCGAGGACCGCGGCACTGTGGTTGCTCAGGGAGGGGGCAAGGTAAGCTGGCTCAGGCTCCTTCAGGATGGGCCGTAAAACATGACTCAGTGGCTGCCACAGCAGAGGTTGGTGTTGGATGGGGACAGACAAGTGTCATTAGCAGCCAGCAGGAATGTCTTCCTGATGCGTGAGTGATGCTGAAGGGCCCTGGACTTTATAGGGGTCTGAGCGCTCCTGTGTCATCGGCCTTCCTGGCCCATGCCTGGCACAGTCCATGTCTAGCCCTTAATAAGTGTTTTCCAGAAGCGTCTGGGTAGCTTGCCAGGAGGCCTCAGAAGTGAGAGGGTGAGTGGGCGTGTGGTCAGGCCCGGGGAGAGAGACGGGACAGGTGAGGGCGGCACAGTCGGGGCCTCACGATCCTGGCTGCAGCCTGGGTGCTCATGGGCCTGTCCCACAGGCTCTGCTCCCACTGGCCCTGGAAGGCACCGACGTGGGGCAGACGAAGGCAGCCCAGGCTCTCGCCAAGCTCACCATCACCTCCAACCCAGAGATGACCTTTCCCGGCGAGCGGGTACGTGTCTTCCTGCCCCAGCCCTGGCCTGTCCTCCACCCCCTCAGTGGGCCCTCCTGGCCTTTCACTCAGGCTGTGGCTCCTCCACGGGACCCTGGGGTGGGGAGGGTGACCTCTCGGGGGCTGGACTCCCATCTGCAGGGCCGGTGGCGTTGGGAGAACTGGGGCGGGTAGCCCTGATGCATGGGTGTGTATTCCAGATCTACGAGGTGGTCCGGCCCCTTGTCTCCCTGTTGCACCTCAACTGCTCCGGCCTGCAGAACTTCGAGGCGCTCATGGCTCTAACGAACCTGGCGGGGATCAGTGAGAGGCTTCGGTGAGGCCCGAGGGGATGCGGGGCCTGGGCAGGGCACCGTGGTTTAGACCGTTGCCAGGAAAGCACTTTACAGTTCTTTTTGTTGTTATTGTTAGTCATTTACTGAATTTATTTTTGGCCGTGCTGGGTCTTAGTTGCTCCACGCTGGCTTTCTGTAGGTGCAGTGAGCGGGGGTTACTCTTCATTGGGGTGCACGGGCTTCTCACTGTGTTAGCTTCTTTTGTCGCAGAGCACAGGCTCTAGGTGCCCCACCACAGGCTTCAGTAGTTGTGGCACATGGGCTCACAGTTGCTTCTCAGCATGTGGGATCTTCCCGGACCAGGGGTCGAACCCATGTCCCCAGCATGGCAGGCAGATTCTTATCCACTGGACCACCAGGGAAGTTCAGCACTTTACAATTCGGCGTGCGCTCCTCAGTTACTTATTTGGCAGACAGGCCGAGAGGCATGACTTGTGCAGTGTTCTGCGAGAGGGCAAGAAACTAGGCTGTAAGAGTGCAGGCCCTAGAGTCAGACCACGTGGATTCAAATCCTGGCTTTACTGGTTATTAGGGTCTAGCCTCAAAGTAACTTAACCCCTCTGTGCCTTAGTTTCCCTCTCTGTGAAATGGAGTGGTTATGTACCTATCTCATGGAGTAGCAGTGAGGAGGATTAAATGAGAAAATCCAGGTAAAAGCATTTACTACCTAGATGCCTGACTCCTAGCAATGTGTCCAAGCAGCACGTATTAGCTGCTCTCACCAATGTTGAGACTACTCAGTCTCAGGCTCCCCTTCTGTAAAGTAGTAGTGATAATCACATGTGCACCTTTACCATAGGGCTGTGGTGAAGATTTTTTTAAAAATATTTATTATTTGGCTGTGCCAGGTCGTAGTTGCAGCATGCATGATCTTAAGTTGTGGCACGTGAGATCTATTTCCCTGACCAGGGATGGAGCCGGGACCTTCTGCATTGGGAGCACGGAGTCTTAGCTACTGAACCACCAGGGAAGTCCCTGTGGTGAGGATTAAGTAAGATAGTCCCAGTGCTGGGTCAGAGTGAGTGCTCAAACATTAGATGTTAGCATCGCCATCATCACCCCCAGGTATCCTAACTCCTAGTTGAGAGCATCTTCCAAGGTCCCGCGTGCTGTCTCCTCGGCCGGGTTAGAAGGCTGGAAACCACTGCCCGGTGGCTTCAAACCTGCACAGGACGGTCTCTGCATATTGCCCAGGCAAATCTTTGGCCCAGGGCTTGTTGTATGGGGAAACGGGGCTGGGAGTGATGGATGCAAACGCCTTGGTGATGCCAACGCTTCCACCCCTGGCCCCACAGGCAGAAGATCCTGAAGGAGAAGGCCGTGCCCATGATCGAGGGCTACATGTTTGAGGAGCACGAGATGCTCCGCCGGGCAGCCACGGAATGCATGTGTAACTTGGCCATGAGCAAGGAGGTGAGGGCTGGTCCAGGCGGTCAGGCCAGGCAGACACGCAGGAGGACCCGGCCCTGGCTGGGCTTCTGCCCCATCTGACTTGGTCCCGCCCCACTTGTGGCCACAGGTGCAGGACCTCTTTGAAGCCACGGGCAACGACCGGCTGAAGCTGCTGGTGCTGTACAGTGGCGAGGACGACGAGCTGCTGCGGCGGGCGGCCGCCGGGGGCCTGGCTGTGCTCACCTCCGTGCGGCCCTCGCTCTGCAGCCGCATCCCCCAAGTGGTCAGTGCCTCTTCTTGGTGGAGACAGGGGAGGTGGGCCAGGAAGCCCCAGCCTGCTGGCGGTCGGCTGGTGGAAGGCAGCCCCAAGGTGTGCGGGTGGTGTTCGCTGCCAGGGTTCCCTGCTGCTCCGTGGTCACACTGCCCTGTTTCCGGCAGACCACACACTGGCTGGAGATCCTGCAGGCCCTGCTGTTGAGCCCCAGCCAGGAGTTGCAGCACCGGGGCGCTGTGGTGGTCCTGAACATGGTGGAGGCCTCGAGGGAGATCGCCAGCACCCTGATGGAGAGCGAGGTGCTGGAGATCCTGTCAGTGCTGGCCAAGGACAAGGAGAGCCCAGTCACCAGGGCGGCCACAGCTTGTCTGGGGAAAGCGGTGGAATATGGGCTTATCAAACCCAGCCAGGATGGAAAATGAGGGCCTGCCTCTCACACACACTACCCATCACAGCACAAGGAGCAAGGACAGACTGGCTGGTGGGGGCTGGGATGCAAACATCTGGTCTCTCCTCCCCAGCTGCCCTTTGATGTCCTCTGTTCTGAGTCAGGGAGCACATTCACAGCCCTGCTCTCCCAGCACAGCCTCCGGCCTCACATGGCAGGGCACTTTTTCCTGTACTACTAAGACAGCTGGGAATGGGGATGGCGTGTCCTAATTCAGCCTGTGGGTTCCTGGCATTGGGAAGGACACAGCAAGCAGCCTCACCAGCTATGAGCATCACCCGAGCCTGCTAGCAGGAGCACCTCTGATCCTCTAATAAAAGCTTGTGGAGGGATTTCATTGTAGTCCAGTGGTTAAGACTCTGTGTTTCCAAGGCAGGGGCTGCAGGTTCAATTCCTGGTCAGAGAACTAAGGTCCCATGTGCCAATGTGGACAAAAAAAGAAAGTGCGTGGAACTCAAGTATGTGCTCTGTCATCAGCAGGGAGGGCTGGCAGTGGACCAGACTATGGAGCAGGAGCTGGGCATGACTGAGTAGTGTGGGCAGCTTTACAGCAGCACAGCCACCTCTAGGGAAGGAATCAAATGGAATCCTACCCCAGGTCTGCTGAGTTGCTTATCCCTGTTAGAAGGTCAAAGGGTAAACATTGGGGAGCAAATCAGTATTTAGTCACATGGATATAAATGCGTTCAGTTTAGTTGCTGAGTCATGTCCGACTCTTTGCGATCCCGTGGACTTCATCATGCCAGGCCTCAGTGTCCATCACCAACTCCCAGAGTTTACTCAAACTCATGTCCATTGAGTCGGTGATGCCATCCAGCCATCTCATCCTCTGTCATCTCCTCCTCCTCCTGCCTTCAATCTTTCCCAGCATCTGGGCCTTTTCCAGTGAGTCAGTTCTTCACATCAGGTGGCCAAAGTATTGGAGTTTCAGCTTCAGCATCAGTCCTTCCAATGAATATTCAGGACTGATCTCCTTTAGGATGAATTGGTTGGATCTCCTTGCAGTCCAAGTCTCAAAGAGTCTTCTCCAGCACATCAGTTCAAAAGCATCAATTCTTCGGCGCTCAGCTTTCTTTATAGTCCAACGCTCATCCATACGTGACTACTGGAAAAACTGTAGCTTGGACTAGACCAACCTTTGTTGGCAAACTAATGCCTCTGCTTTTTAATATGCTGTCTAGGTTGGTCACAGCTTTTCTTCCAGGGAGCAAGTGTGTTTTAATTTCATGGCTGCAGTCACCATCTGCAGTGATTTTGGAGCCCCCAAAAGTAGTCTGTCAGTTTCCATTGCTTCCCCATCTGTTTGCCATGAAGTGATGGGACAGGATGCCATGATGTTCGTTTTCTGAATGTTGAGTTTTAAACCAGCTTTTTCACTCTCCTTTTTCACTTCCATCAAGAGGCTCTTTAGTTCTTTTTCACTTTCTGCCATAAGAGTGGTGTCATCTGAGCTAATAGGCCTTTCAATACTTCTGCCTTTGTATTGAGAGTTCTCAGTGGCCTCCAGTTAGGGAGAACGCGGGATCTAAGGTTGGGAAAACGCTGAAGGGAACCCCAGTAGCTGAGCCGGGTTGGAGCTGGGCGCCGCAACACCCGCACCCGGCTGGGCGGATAGTCCCAGAGCGCCTGCTTCCGCCCTGCGGATCAAGCCCAGCTTGACTCTCATTGGCTCACGGAGGTAAGTGACAGACTCCAGAGCCAATGGATGGTAAAAGCTGCCCGCCGCCCGCCTAGTACGACTGCGGCACGTTGGGCAGACCCACGAGAGTTAAGAGCGAACTGCGGCCGCCCCAGACTGAAAAGGAGGACAGGCAGCACTCGTCCCTGGGATCGCTCGTAGCCGACCCCTTGCCGACCCCTTAGTTCTTTGTGAATGTCCCCCAGATGCTTCTAATACGGGCTCCGCGGCCCCGTGCGAGCCTGCGGGGGGCGGGACCATCTGGTCCAACCTCGGTTTCGAGCCACGCCCGCCGGAGGTTTGGCCCACTCCCCGCCCGGGCCTCCTGGGCCTTGCGGAGGCCTCGGGACCGGTTCGACCGAGTTAGGATTGAACAGGCCGCGGCCAGAATTGCCCGAACACAGGTAAGCACGTCCACGGCCGCCTGCCCGGGGAGGTCACGCCGCTCGCCGGCGATTGGCTCCGTGGAGGCTTCCGAAGCCAATGGGCTTAGGGCGCGGCTCTTCAAACCTTAACTTCCTGGCTGCCAGCCGAGTCCTGGTCCGGCTGTCGACCGGTTCCTGGTCGCTGCCCTGCCTCCTGGCCTTTCCTCCCTCTAGACGGCCCATTGGATCGAGCTGCTTGAGGGGGTGGAGGACACAGGGTCAAGATTAAGATCAGAGGCCTTGGGCTGGGATTGGCCCGGAAGGGGTAGGAGCCCAGGCCTGGGTCAAGGAGATACTGCAGGATCTAGCTTCAAAGACTTAAAAATGCCAACGATATTCTGATTAAGCCGAACATGCTGTACGCAGAAAGTGGCATCACCGTGTCACTTGACTCTGCCTCTGTTTCCCCATTTATGCACGAGTGCCTTGAAAGCAGACAGCGGTGCTTCTTATTGACTTAGAGTAAGGGATTAATGCAGTCCATGGGGTCCACAGGGTCGCAGAGTCGGACATGACTTATCGACTGAACAATGACAAAAAGGATCAATAAATGCGTGCGGGATGAATAAATGAGTAGACAAGGTCCAGTTGAAATTGTGTTTACATAGGTCCCTAAAAACCCAGTGACCATTTCTTTTTTTAATTTTATCAACCCTTAAGCCCTGGATTTAATAAGCTGACACTGTGTCCTTACGATGCTGTGTGCCAGCTCTTGAAACCTTTATTTGTATCTGTTCGTAGCAATTCCACAGGGTAGGTACAGACATCACCCTCCACTGCTGCCACTGTACAACTGCACAAACTGAATTGGATTGAGAGAGCTCAAGTAAATTGGCTAAGGACACAGGCGTAGCTAGCTGCAGAGGCAAACGTGAACCCTGGAAGTGGTCCTGCCCCTTACAGGGCATTGTCTTTGCCTTTCACTGGTGGGAAATGATGGATCTTGAGTTCAGTCTTATGCCCCTCTCGGTCCTAAGCTTGTGTAAGGGTCACTTTCTCTGGGAGTCTCCACTGTCAAACGGAGACAATTCTAGTTCCCAGGATTACATGGGATAATGTGTCTGACATTGAGAATTTGGAGTGGGAGGGACTCAGAGGCCTAGTCCTAAAGGACTAGCCTAAAGGAGGGACTGTTTAACTACTTCGTGCCCACTTTGCGGGATAGTGAATGTGCTTGGGTCAAAAGGGAGGACAGGGCAAGGGCCCCACTTACACAGCTCAGAATCGTTCTAGGTCTGGTAGGACGCCCGCTCAGCGAACGTCGGCGGAATGCACGTCGTGTGCCTCTGTGGTTAGAAGGGTGGCTTTCCCCTCCTTTTACCCGTAAGGCAGCTGCAGTGTCTCCCAAGGAAGAATCTCTGGGTTCTTGCCCTAACCTTCCGTCTCGCCGGCCGCTCCAGCCAGGTCGCAGCCAACCAAGGGTGCTGCGAGGCATGGACCAGGAGCATCGCGGGACCTGGTTCGGCTTCGGTTTCTGCGGCTTCGGGCAGGCGCTGGGCTCGGGGCTCGGGCGCCAGGTGCACAGCCCCGAGCCGCTGAGGACGCCGGGCGGCAACCTCGACGTCTGCAGCGTGAGCGCGAGCTGGAGCTACACCGCCTTTGTGACCCGTGAGCGCCCCTCTCCGTCCCCGCCTCCGGCCCCCTGCGCGCGCGCCGCCCGCTCTGTCCCCAGCCCGCCCTCCGTCCCCAGCCCGCTCTCCACCCCCCCGCAGGTGGAGGCCGGGTGCAGCTGTCCGGCGCCGCGGGCGGTGCGGCGGGCGGATGCACGGACGCGTGGGCGTCGGAGGAGCTCCTGGTGCTGCTGCGCGCGGGGCCGGGAGGCGGGGCGGAGCTGCAGGCCTGGGCGCCGCGTTCGGCGCTGCGCGGAGAGCCCCTCTGGTCCCAGGCCGTGCAGGAGGCGGAAGGCGGACCCAGCCGTGATGAGACCCAGGCGGGGCCGCTGCCGCTGCTGCCCTGCGCTCGTGCCTACGTGAGCCCGCGGCCGCCCTTCTACCGGCCTCTGGCCCCTACGCTGCGGGCGCGTCGCCTGGAGCTGGGCGCCGAGCACGCGTTGCTGCTGGACACCGCGGGCCAGGTGTTCTCCTGGGGCGCGGGCAGGTGAGTGGGGCTTGGCCAGGTGGGCCAGCTGGGCTCTTGCTGGGGTAGGGGGTGGGGGAGGGCTGGGGTAAATGTGACCTCGGAGTGGGAGGTCAGCATACAGGGGGCAGGAGGGAGTGTTTGGGCAAGGATGGGGAGGAGACCTCTTGGTGTGAGCATCGCTGACTGGGATCTTCTTTGCTAAGGCATGGACAGCTGGGCCACGGGACCCTGGAGGCCGAGCCAGAGCCCAGGCTGTTGGAGGCGCTACAGGGCCTACCCATGGCTGAAGTCGCTGCAGGCGGCTGGCACTCTGTGTGCCTGAGTGGTGAGTGACCTAGGGCTTTCCCAAAACCAGCTCAGGGTCTCCCAGATGCCAAAGCTTCCTCCTCCTCTCCCTAGTTAGATGGGTGGCCTAGCCAGGCCTCCTTCCAAGCTCCTCCCGCATCCCTCAGCCCAGTCATTCCTGACTCCCAAACGCCTGACAGATTCAACACCCCCACCATGACCACCCTCACAATCCAGACTGTTGGCAGTTGTTTCCCGTCTTCTGGTCTCACTACCCCTCCCATCCATCTGCCTCCAGCCAGGGCTGTCATTTTGGAATACTCCCCAGTGGAGAATGGAGGGGTGAGGGGCAGCTGAGACAGGAAGGATGGAGAAGAAAGGCAGCAGCTGCCCAGGTGGCNAAAGAGGCAATTAGCATGATCTAAGGGTGGAGTTTTCCAGCCCTGACATCAGAAGGCCATTCATTGGCCATGTGCACAAGCCCAGTTTTAGGGTTGGTGGTCCCATCGAGTCTCCAGATGACTTTGCTGGGCAGGCGCTGACTCCAAGTTCCTGTGAAACAGCTGAGTTGTATGAAACTGTATACAATTAAAGGGGAAAAAAAGCAGAAAAATCAAAGTGAACTTAATGAAGGCATTTTACAAGCAAAAGGGTTTTTAATAGTGTGTTCCTCATCTGTTCTCCAAGGAAAGTTCAAGAATTTCTCCATAGTTATCACCTTCTGTTAAATCCATGGGGCATGGTTTCACTCGGGATCTTTAAAAATGACTTAGGCCTGCACTCTCCCCTTCCTATTCTATTGGGCCTGGGTTGGCAGCCAGGCTTGAGAACTACTGGGCAGGAGGAGAGATGAGAGGACCAGAAAGTGAGCATAATGGGAAGTCTCACACTAAGGTCCAAAAGGAGTTTGAGGCCTCGGTGTAGTGTGGTTGGAGCACTGATGCTTCAAACCAGACCTCCCAGGTTCACATCAGCATTACTCTGCCCCTGGTGATCTTGGGCAGAACACCTCACCACTCAAGTTTCTCTGGAGTAGAGGGGGGATATGGTGCTTAATATCCGTGCTGGCACGGATTAAATATTTGATAAAAATAAGCTACTACTGTTAGTGAATTTTTAGTGTTAGGGCTCTTGCTCCAGCCAACAACCCTATATAGTGTTGTGGGAGGAGGCAAGCAATGTTGAGAGCTTCTAGAGGCCTTCAGGGATGGGGGAGGGTGTAATGGGTCAAGAGGGTCAACTGTATGGCGACAGATGGAAACCGACCTTTTGGTGATAAACTAGTGCATACAGAAGTCAAAATATATGTAATGTTGTATACATGAAACTTATACAAAAACTTTCATGCTGTGTCAGTGTAAAAAAAAAAAAAAAACACATTTTTTAAAAAAGGTCTTCAGGACCAGTGATGGGTAGGGCTGAAGAAAGGAGCCTGGGCTCAGTGGATGTGAAAAGAAGACACTCTGGAACTTCCAGGGACTCATTTCCAAATTGCATGTTGGAGGTGGGGGCTGGGATTTAACAACAAAAGGGAAAAGTGACCCTGGAGAGGAAAGCCTAACAAGAGGTGTCCTTTAAGAATAGGGTGACCGAATGCACTTAAGAGGGAAAGGCCCTACTGAGACGAGGAAGCTGCTGGGTGCTGGGGGAGGTGCTTAATCTGGAACGCTGACTTGGGTGGGGCAGGTAAGAGTCATCTTTCAGGAGCCACACCTCCAGGGAGTGTGGATGGATGCAGGGGTGATCTGAGTCTGTTTAATGGGACTCTATTCTCTCTGAGACAGAGACAGGAGATATTTATATCTGGGGCTGGAATGAATCAGGGCAGCTGGCCCTGCCCACCAAGAGTCTGGCAGAAGATGGAAAGACAACTGCAGGAGGTGAGGGTCAATTTTGTTAAAAATTTATTTTATTGAAATACAGTTGATTTGCAATGTTGTGTTACCGTGTGCTGTATGGCCACGTGATTCAGTTATACCTACACATACATTCTTTTTTATATTTCTTCTATTACGGTTTATTGCAGGATACTGAGTATAGTTCCCTGTGCTATAGATTAGGACATTATTGTTTTTTCTATTCTATGTATAATAGTTTGCATCTGCTAACTCCAAACTCCCAATCCATCCCTCCCCCACCCCCTCCTCCTTGGCAACCACAGGTCTGTCGGTGAGACTCAGTTGTTGATTTCCACACATTTCTGTCATTCCTGCCTCCTGGCCATAGGCTGGCTTGAGAGCTACAGGGCTCAGAAGGGGTATGTGACATCCTTGGCACCCCAGGACTCTGAGCCCCTTGTGAGAGGGAGCACGGCACGGCTGATGCCAGTGTCCTCACGGCACACCCCACAAGCCTGTCAGCTCAGCACTTCCCAGGGAATTCAGGGTTGGAAGTGACAGCTTTGGAGCTAGAGTAGGGGCTTCAGCTATTGTATGAATGATGCTTATTATTTTAATTATTTTTTACGATCGAGGTGTAGATCAGGTCTCAGTGAGTGTTCACCATCATTATCATAACTCTTACTGCTTCTCTGAAGCCTCAGGACTGGATGAAGATGGTTCTGAAGTAAAGAGAGTCTCTTCGGGTGGGGATGGAGCCCCCGCCCCCTTCATAGCGGTCCAGCCGTTCCCAGCTTTACTGGACCTCAGCCCGGGCTCAGAGGCAGTCAAGGTCAGCTGCGGATCCCGGCACACGGCAGTGCTGACAAGTGAGTGGGGCCAGGTAGGCTGGTTCAGGACGGAGCAGGAAGCCCCCTCCGCCCACCTGGCGGCTGCAGGAAAGGGTGTGGTCACTTAAAAGGCTAGCAGCCTCACTCCCTCGGGCCTTTCACAGAGGCTACCCAGCCTGTCAGGCCCTGAAGGTTCTTCCTTCCGGAGGGAGGCTAGTGTTTGCCAGCCTTGCATCAGATGAGGGTCTGCCCAACCCTGCTCCTGAGACTACAAACTCAGTAGCTGTGAGTCAGAGCCGTTGGGCATATAGGAAGGTGAACTTTTTCAGTCTGGATCCTTTACCACCCCAGACGTGACTAGTGTGTGTGCATGCCGCGTGCCAAGTCGCTTCAGTTGTGTCCAAGTCTTTGCAACTCTGAGACTCTATGTAGCCTGCCAGGCTCCTCTGTCCATGGGATTCTCTGGACAGAGGAGGGGGTTGCCATGCCCTTCTCCACGGGATCTTCCTGACATGTGACTAGACTATTGTTAAAAACGAAGAGAGTATGTGTTGCTCCGCCAATCAAATCGGGCGACGAGCACAGTGAGCTGGCTGTGGGTTGTGGCAGGCTGAGCTTTGCGCATGCCCTGTCAGAGAGCATGGCAACAGCCCGTTTACTGTCCTTTCGGTTGCAGGAACGGGGGAGCTCTACACCTGGGGCTGGGGTAAGTAAAGGGTTTGCTTTTGTGATGCTTAAATGAAGGGGAGGCAAAGACCTGCGGGTAGGGGGCAGGTGACAGCAGCTGCGAAGAGAAGCTGAAGCAGGGTCTCAGCACGACCGCTGGACTGAAAAGCCCTCTGTTCCCTTCTCTGGGACAGATCTAGGCACACTCAGAGGGGCAGAGCTCAGAGAAATAGGAAGTATCAGTATTTCCTGTCTACCTTTCTGAAAAGTATGTGTCCCACCGGAATATTTCGCCAGCATTTCTGAGACCTCTTTTGGTCTGGCCCTGGGAAGAGAAAAAGGTAGAATGAAAATCTCTGAGCATCTGAGCTTGGGAGTGGGGAGCCTGGAGGATTTGCCTGGCTCTGTGGTGCTGGTCTGAACTCACGGAGCAGACACCAGCAGGGTGGTGGCCTAAGCCCAGCGCTTCAGTCAATGGGCTGGTTTTCCTTCCTGGAGGGGAGAAGTCACAGCGCCCAGCAGAGGATGGCAAAGGGGCTCATTTCACTTTAGGTAAATATGGACAGCTTGGCCACAAGGACACAACCACTTTGGACCGGCCCTGCCGTGTGGAGTACTTTGTAGATAAGCAACTCCAAGTAAGAACTGTGAGCTGTGGGCCCTGGAACACCTACGTGTATGCTGTGGAGAAAGAGAAGAGCTGACCTGTGGATAAGGGTATAAAATAACAGTAGAGTGGGAAATTATAAAGCCAACACCTGTGAAACTCCCCACAGGGCAAGGAAAACCACTGCCAGCACCTAGAGGCCTCACCTTTGCCCCTCCCGTTCACAGCCCTCTTGCTCCACCTTAGAGCAGGTGGCATCTTCAACTTTGTCCCCCCATTAGAAACACCTGGAGGGAACTCCCTGGTGGTCCAGTGGTTAGGACTCTGCGTTTTCACTGCTGAGGGCGCAGATTCAATCCCTAGTCGGAGAACTAGGATTCCATAGGCTGCAGGGCTCGCTGTGCCCCACACTCCCAGAAAAAAAGAGAGAAGCACCTGGAGATTTGTAACTGGATGCCTAGAGATGGCATCATGAAGAGAAAGTGAAAGTTGCCCAGTCACGTCCGGCTCTTTCTACCCCATGGACTATACAGTCCATGGAACTCTCTAGGCCAGAATACTGGAGTGGGTAGCCTTTCCTGTCTCCAGGGTCTCGTCCCAACCCAGGGATCAAACCCAGGTCTCCCACATTTCAGGCAGATTCTTTACCAGCTGAACCAGGGCCAGCATCTTAGACATGATGAAATCATGAACTTAAGAGTGTGGAACATAGATGTGGGTAGATTTTTGAAGGGCTTTCCTACTGACTGTGACAGTCAAGAATCCACCTGCAATGCAGGAGACCTGGGTTAAATCTCTCCCTGGGTCGAATCCCTCCCTTTGTCAGGAAGATTCCCTAGAGAAGGGAATGCCTACATGCTCCGGTATTTTGCCAAGCTGCCCCATTCCAGGTGATTTTTGAGGTAGTGCTAAGACTGGGAACCGCTAGAGGTCATCTTTTGTTACTCATCTGGCCTGTTTTCACTTTGAATCTTACCAATCCATGTATGCCTCTTTATACAGTAAAATTTGTCTGCTTTTGAACTTTAGGTAAATAGTCATTCTGTGTATGTTCTTTCATGTCTTTTTTCATCAGCCCTGTAAGATTCATCTGTGGTGACCTACAGTTTATTCACTTCCATTCTATTACATGAACTACACCTCAAGTTTATATATTCTCTTGTTAATACTAATTTCTTTTTTCTTACTGAGTTAAAATACACATAACAAAAAATTTATTATCTTAACATTTTTAAGTGTACAGTTCAGTGGAACTGAAGACACTCACATTGCTGTGCAGCCATCAACACCATCCGGTCCCATCTCTTTATCTTGTAAGTCTGAAACCCTACAGCTATTAAACAGTGACTCCTCATTTTCCCCAACCCCTGACAACTGTCATTATACCTTTTGTGTCTCTGTGTGATCTTGACTGCTCTACCTAATGTAAGTGGAATCATAACAGTATTTGTCTTTTTGTGACTGGCTTATGATCAGGTAGCATAATGCCCTTAGGGATCATCCATGTTGTGGCGTACTGCACAATTTCCTTCCTTTCTGGGCCTTAATAATGTTCCATTGTATGTATAGGCATGTTTGGTTTATCCAGTCATCGGTTGATGGACACTTGGGAGGCTTTCATATTTTAACTGTTGTGAATGATGCTACTGTGAACATGGATTTACAAATTCCTCTTTAAGACTTGGCCTTTAATTCTTTTGGATATATACCCTAAAGTGGAATCACTGAGTCATACGGTAATTCCATTTTTAAGTTTTTGAGGAGCCTACATTACTGTTTTCCACAGTGGCTTTAACATTTTACAATCCCACCAATAAATAGTGCACAAGGGTTCCAATTTCACTCTATGCTCGCCCAGCACCTTTTTATGTATTTGCGGCCGCGCTGGGTCTGCGCCGCTGTCTTTGGGTGTTCCCTCGTTGTGTGTGGGCTTCTGTTGCCGCGGCTCCTCTCGCGGAGGTCGGGCTCAGCAGCTGTGGAGCACAGGCCGAGTTGCTCTGCAACATGTGGAATCTTCCCAGACCAGGGATCGAACTGTGTCCCCTGCGTTGGCAGGTGAATTCTCAACTACTGGACCACCAAGGAAGTCCACCTTTTTGCTTTTTTGACAGTAGCCATCCTAATGGGTATAACGTGGTTATCTCATTGTAATTTTTATTTGCTACTTCCCTAAAGATTAGTGATGTTAAGTATCTTTTCATGTGCTTATTGGCCATTTACATATCTCTTTTGGAGAAATGTCTATTCAAGTCCTTTGCCCATTTTGAATCAGGTTTTGTGTGTGTGGTGTTTTAGGAGTTCTCTATATATTCTAGGTATTAATCCCTCATCAGACTGATTTGGAAGTATTTTCTCCCATTCTGTTGGTTGCTTTTTCACTCTGTTGATAGTGTATCTTTTGCTTAAATGTTTGTCTTTCTGTTGCATTGGGTCTTAGTTGTGGCTCTTGGGCTTAGTAGTTCGGTGCATGGGTTCCAGTTGTCAGGACACATGGGCTTAGCTGCTCCGTGACATGTGGGATCTTAGTTCCCAGACGAGGGATCGAACCTGTGTCCTCTGCATTGCTTTTAATTTTCATGAAGTCCAATTTGTCTATATTTTCTTTTGTTGCCTGTGCCTTTGGTGACATGTCTAAGAAATTACTGCCAAATTCAGTGTCTTGAAGCTTTTGTCCTGTGTTTTTATAAGAATTTTTTAGGTCTTATATTTAGGTCCTTGATCCATGTTGAGTTAAATTTTTGTATCCTTTTCTATGTGGATATCCAGTTTTCCCAGCACCATTTGTTGAAAAGACCGTCCATTCCCCAATGAATGGCCTTGGCACCCTTGTCATAAATCATCTGCTTATATATTCAAGGGTTTATTTCTGGGCTTTCTATTCTGTTCCTTTGATCTATATGTCTCTCTTTTTTATGTCAATACTGGCTTGATTACTATAACTTAGCAGTAGGTTTTGAACCTAGGATGTGTGAGTCCTATAGTTTTGTTCTTTTTCAAAGTTGTTTTGCCTGTTTGAGGTTCCTTGAGATCCCATGAGTTATAGGGCTTTTCTATTTCTGCATAAAGGTTTTTGAGATTTTTAGGGATTGCTAGAATCTATAGATTGCTTTGGGTGCTACTGATATTTTAACAATATTAAGTCTTCCGATCCATGATCATGGGATGTGTTTCCATTTATTTATGTCTATAACTTTTTTTTTCATTTATTTATATTAGTTGGAGGCTAATTACTTTACAATATTGTAGTGGTTTTTGCCATACATTGACATGAATCAGCCATGGATTTACATGTATTCCCCATCCCGATCCCCCCTCCCTATTTATGTCTATAACTTCTTTCAGCGGTGTTTTGCACTGGGTTGGCCAAAAAGTGTGTTTGGTTTTTTTAGTAACACATTATGGAAAAACTCAAATGTGCTTTTTGGCTAACCTAATAGTTTTCATCATACATGTCTTTCACCTCCTTGGTTAGTTCAGTTCAGTTGCTCAGTTGTGTCCGATTCTTTGTGACACTATGGACTGCAGCATGCCAGGCTTCCCTGTCCATCACCAACTCCCAGAGTCTGCTCAAACTCATGTCCATCAAGTCGGTAATGCCATCCAACCATCTCATCCTCTGTTGTCCCCTTCTCCTCTCACCTTCAATCTTTCCTAGCATCAGGGTCTTTGCAAATGAGTCAGTTCTTCACATCAGGTGGCCAAAGTATTGGTGTTTCAGCATCAGTCCTTCCAATGAATATTCAGGACTGATTTCCTTTAGGATGAACTGGATGGATCTCCTTGCAGTCCAAGGGACTCTCAAGAGTCTTCTCCAACACCACAGTTCAAAAGCATCAATTCTTCAGTGCTCAGCTTTCTTTACAGTCCAACTCTCACATCCATATTTGACTACGGAAAAACCATAGCTTTGACTAGACGGACCTTTGTTGGCAAGGTAATATCTCTGCTTTTTAATATGTTGTCTAGGTTGGCCATAGCTTTTTTTCCAAGGAGCAAGTGTCTTTTAATTTCATGGCTGCAGTCACCATCTGTAGTGATTTTGGAGCCCCCAAAATAAAGTCTGTCTCTGTTTTCCCATCTGTTTGCCATGAAGTGGTGGGACCAGATGCCATGATCTTAGTTTTCTGAATGTTTTAAGCCAACTTTTTCACTCTCCTCTTGCACTTTCATCAAGAGGCTCTCGCTTTCTGCCATAAGTGTGGTGTCATCTGCATATCTGAGGTTATTGATATTTCTCCTGGCAGTCTTGATTCCAACTTGTGCTCATCCAGTCCAGCATTTCTCATGATGTACTCTGCATATAGTTAAATAAGCAGGGTGACAATATACAGCTTTGACATACTCCTTTCACAATTTGGAACTAGTCTGTTGTTCCATGTTCAGTTCTAACTGTTGCTTCTTGACCTGCATATAGATTTCTCAGGAGGCCGGTAAGGTGGTCTTGTATTCCAATCTCTTGAAGAATTTTCCACAGTTTATTGTGATCCACACAGTCAAAGGCTTTGGCATAGTCAATAAAGCAGAAGTAGACGTTTTTCTGGAACTCTCTTGCTTTTTCAATGATCTAACAGATGTTGGAAATTTGATCTCTTGTTCCTCTGCCTTTTCTAAACCCAACTTGAACATCTGGAAGTTCATGGTTCATGCACTGTTGAAGCCTGACTTGGAGAATATTGAGCATTACTTTGCTAGTGTGTGACATGAGTGCAGTTATGTGGTAGTTTGAGCATTCTTTGGCATTGCCTTTCTTTGGGATTGGAATGAAAACTGAATTTTTCCAGTCCTGGCCACTGCTGAGTTTTCCAAATTTGCTGGCATATTGAGTTCACTACTTTCACAGCATCATATTTTAGGATTTGAAATAGCTCAACTGGAATTCCATCACCTCCACTAGCTTTGTTTGTAGTGATAGTTCCTAAGGCCCACTTGACTTTGCATTCTAGGATGTCTGGCTTTAGGAGAGTGATCACACCATCGTGATTATCTAGGTCATGAAGATCTTTTTTGTATAGTTCTTCTGTGTATTTTTGCCACCTCTTCTTAATATCTTCTGCTTCTGTTAGGTCCATACTATTTCTTTCATTGAGCCCATCTCTGCATGAAATGTTTCCTTGGTATCTCTAATTTTCTTGAAGAGATCTCTAGTCTTTCCCATTCTATTGTTTTCCCCTGTTTCTTTGCACTGACCACTGAGGAAGGCTTTTTTATATCTCTCCTTGCTATTCTTTGGAATTCTGCAATTAACCTCCTTGGTTAATTGCTAAGTATTTTAGTCTTTTTGATGCCATTATAAATGAAATCATTTTTGTAATTTCCTTTTCAGATTGTTCATTGTGTATAGAAATACAACTGATTTTTGTGTATTGACTTTGTATCCTGCTACTTTGCTGAAGTCATTTATTAATTCTAACAGCTTTTTGGTAGTCTTTGATTTTTTACATATAAGATCACTCACCTGCAAACATAATTTTACTTCTTTCCAATTTGAATGCCTATTTCTTCTATAGCCTAATGGCTCTATGTTGATTAAAAATGTTGAAAGTGTGCATCCTTGCCTTGTTCTGATCTTAAAGCAAAAGTAATTGAGTATTAAGAGTATTATGTTCACTGTGCGCTTGTCTTATATGGCTTTTATTGTGTGGAAGTAGTCTCCTTTTCTATTTTATGTGTTTTTATCATGAAAGGTTGTGGAATCTTTCTTTTTCTACATCAACTGAAATCATCAGTTGGGGAGTTAAAGCATAACACATGCTCAGGGTTGGATATTTGCTCAAAAATGCCTGAGAAAACACTTGAGTTTTCATTTCTGCCTAGGACTCAGGCTCCACAAACAAGAACCGAAGGCTAAGGCACAGTTGTTTATGGCCTGAAAGTGAAAGTTGATCAGTTGTGTCCAACTCTGACCCCATGGACTCTATAGACCATGGAATTCTCTAGGTCAGAATGGCCTGGCTAAGCATTAAAGACTTGCTCCAATACAATGAATGTTTATTTTTTCCCCTCATTTTTCCTTTAGTGAGTTTAGCAAGTTGTAGGATACAAGAGCAATATACAAAAATCAACTATATATATTTATGTAGCCAAGTAATAACCAGAAACTCTAATTAAAAGATACCATTTACAATAGCATCAAGATATGAAATACTTAGGGATAAATCTGACAAAGATGTGAAATATTTGTACACATGACCTATAAAATACTGCTGAGAAGAAAACCGAAATAAATGGAGAGAGATGCCTTGTTTGTGGGTTGTTCTCCCCCAGTTGGTCTACAGGTTCAATGTGATGCCAATAAAAATTCTACGAGATTTTTCTGTAGAAATTGACAAGCTTTTTCCCCTAAAACTCATACAAAAATGCAAAGGACCTGTAACAGACAAAATGATGTTTAAAAGCACAAAGTTGGAAAGTTAACATTACCTGATTTTAAGAATTCATGTAGATCCTCGTAATTAAAACAGTAGTATGAAAAAGAATGAACTCAACAGGTACTTCCCCAGAGAAGAATGATGGCAGAGAAGCACATGAAAAGATGTTAAACAGAATTTAAAAAGTTAAACACCATCATTAGGAAAATACAAATTACAACCACATTGAGATACTATTTCACAGCTACTAAAATGGCTAAAATCATAAAGACTGACCATACCAAGTGTTGCAGAAGATATGAAGAAACTGGAACCTTAATACATCATGAGAGTGTAAAATAAGCCATCCACTTTGGAAATCAGACTGGCAGTTTCTTAAAAAGTTAAAACATACACCTACCATATGTATGATCCAGCCATTTCACTCCTAGGTGTTTACCCAAAAGAAAATAGAGCTGTACACAGAGACTAGCAATGAAAAGTTGGGAGTTAGGCTTTTTATTTCTCTCAGAAAACTTTTTCTCAGGACAAGAGATGTTCTTAATTTAGAAGCACTCAAAGTAAAAATCATGCTCCTGACTAAAAATTTCTTGTATGTTCTTTTAGTCCTGTTTTTCAGACAAAAATCAACCAAAAAGTGATTGGGAAACAATGAAAACACCACTACAATATATGTTTCTGAAATATAAGTATACATTTTAATTTAATATATTTTAAAATCAGTACATGTATATGCATGACTAACAGACCAAATCCACACCTGCAAGCTTCCAAGAACCATTTACTGTGCTGACAGTAGTAGGGGTGCAGGCAGAGGGAGAATAAATAATAGTGCTTCGGGGAGTGCAGTAGTGATCAATAGGGTAGGTAAAGAAGGAGCCTCATTGTGGACATTACGGTAGGAACAACTCCCCAGTACTGACATGTGCAAAGTTCCAGGTCTCCACAACAGGAACAGGAATGGCCCAGCCCACCAAACAGCCTCCCTACTTGGCTACCAAGTGCAGAGGGTGGAGGGACTCGGGCACTGGGGCGCTGGGATGGGGGAGCTAGACCCAGAGAGTAGAGTTCAGACAAGCATGTGTGTTCATACACACCCCCCCAACCACAGCATCACCCCACATGACAAAACTGTACACAGTTGAACAAAGGCGCTCCCAGCCTCCCTGTCACCTCTTTGGCAGTGAGTCAGGCCATCCCAACTTCTGACACACAGACATCTTCATCAGGAGGAAGGCTGTCCTGTGTGGTGGGGACAGGCCTTTAGGTGAGAGCAAAGCTACTGAAGCTGTAGCATTAACTGAACATCCCTAAACAAAAAAGATGTTAGTTGCTAATTATAAGTGTACAGACAGAAAACTGCTTCATGTCCCATACCCCAAGGATGGACACAGTCATTTTCCTACATAAAGGTGAAGTATAACAAGCCCTTGATCATGCTTCAGCAAGTACAGTTATGGGGCAGGAAAAGAAATTAAGTTCCATATGCTAAAATTTACACATTGCTATGAACTAAGTTTTAATGTATTTCTTGAGTCAAAATAAAACCAATGTCTGAGGACACACTAAGCTTATGATAGACTTTCATCTGTAACTCATGCACTTCTCTAAGTTAGACTCATGGTAATGGAACGTGTCCAGGCTTTCAAGCATCTAAACTGAAGAAACATTAAAGCCACCCTGTATAATTAGGCACAGAAAACTTCAGAGGGGTGACTGATCAGGGCTTCTCAGGACTGGATGTTGGTTGAATTGAGGATTCGGGAAGCAGCATCAGATTTGGAAGCCTTTGAAAGTTCGCGCTGTTGAAAAACAAATAACATCAATGGCAGTACTGCCCCCTCTCATGCATGCCCTGCCCTGGTAAGTAAGCACGAGTAAATGTCAGCACACAGCCCTCTGAGGGCGTTTCTCTAGGACGTGGGCCCTACCCCAGCACAGGCTGTGTTAGGAATCCAAGGGAAGGGAATGCTTAGTCACAGATTAAGCAGGTGCATATATGCCCCTTGATTGCTTTCCTCAGCCAGTCCATTGTTAAAACTTCACAGAAGAGAAATCCCTTAGACTTCACCAAGTACTCTGAGTTGTCAAGCTAGATAGGCAATAAGCTTTGGTCTTTTGAGCCCTTTATGAAACAATGGGCCAGAGTGTATATCTACCAATCCCTGGGGCTGAGGGCCTGTTAACCTGCTGGTGATTTCATCTCATGCTGGAGCACATGGTATTGAAGCAGAAGACAAAGCATGAATGACGAGTGAGAAAGGACAGGTGTTAGTAGAGGTTAGTCTACTGGCTTCAGTGCTGCCTGGTGGAGCCTACAGCCACAACAGCCCAAACCAGAAGAGCCTTCCTGACCGAGCCAAAGACAGATATGTGTAAGCACCAAGTGGATGAAGCGGGGCTGGCTGAGCAACAGGAAAGAGAAAGTTGGACTTTGTGGCCTGCAGTCAGCTAGCCACAGTGACAAGTACCCACTTCTGTAGGAGAACCACAACAGTCAAGTACTTGATAGGGAATTCCCTGGTAGATCAGTGGTTAAGATTGAGCTTGAGGTTCAATCCCTGGTTGGGGAATTAAGATCCCATATGCCACATAGCACAGCCAAAAAAAATAATAAAACAATTCTTTTAAAAAAGTAACTTGACAAAAGTAAAATATAAAACAAGCTTCAGAGCTCAAAATGAGCTGTAGCTTTGGGCAGCTGTCCCATTCTCCATTACTGCAGCAAGACAGTTGATGCCCTAGGCTTTCACTCAATATCGCCCACAAGGGTGAAGGACGGCCTTGCCTCTCAATAGTTAGATACTCAGACGAGAGAACACATCCCAGGAGAGGGCACTGCAGTTAAGTGTTGGTAAATGTGAAGTAGGTTACTAGGAGCTGAAGAGCATTGTGGGAAAAAAACAACTTTCTTCCAGTGCCTCCTATGTGCTTTAGCAGCTCAATGTGGTAGAAATAGGCAAAGGCAAAGAAATGAGCATGGGCTAGCCCAGAGCAGACAGAAAGTTGGCAGTGCAGCTCTGAGGGGTTAGTAAGACATATACTCCAGGAAATAATCAGCACACAGGCCAAGAACCTTATAGGCAGCACACAGCTGGGGCTCCCCTCCCCACGTGATGGGGCCTCTCTTCTTTCTAGCACAGTGGAGGCCCTTAATGTCACAACTGGGGAGGGTGGAAATTCTCTGTTGTGAAATAACAGGATAAAAAAACTTTGCCTAATTTTATATGGGGCTGAGAATCCAAGTCTGAACAAGTTAATCGGCAGATTAGTCTGTTTAGTCAGTCTGTTGGGAACTTAAGCCAGATATTTACTAGTTTTGAAATCTGTTTTAGGGATTCCTGCTTCCTTTGTTAAAAAAAAAAGTCTTAGGACAGTACAGCTGAGATGACTGGTTAGTGCAGCCCTGTGCCCACATGGGAAGGAAGCCAGCAGATGACAGATCAGCTTGGAAAAGGGACGTGGGACATGCAGGGGTTGCCATACAGACCTGAAGCCCAACAGTGGAGCTGTCAGAGAGGGACGGATCCTTCTAAGAACAAAGAATTAAGACAATTACCAAGACTCCACCAAGAGAGCACCAGGGCAGTGATTAGAAAGGTCACCTCCTGCAGCCAGGGAATGGTATTTCTTAAGCAGAAGGATCCAGGTTAAATGTCTGATTGCTGCTGCCATCTTTCTTCCTGTATACCACCCTTACACCACCCCCACCTCATGCCATGGTCATGTCAGGAAAGGGATTCTCAGCCTCCAAAGATCCGTCCGAACTAACAGCCTGGGTGCCCCTGGAGAGATGCCCCCTCTGCCCCAACTGTGTGCTCCCCAGGGACTGGTAGATATTAGAAAAGGTGAATTACCGCAAACTCAGAATAGGTGCTGGCAACAGAATTAATGCTGAAGTTGCGCCGTGGGGGGGCCGAGTCAGGGTACCCACCGCTGAGGATGCTGCCATTGAGCTCCAGGTTCTCCTTGTTGGCTCCATGCTTGACGGCACGGGGCGTTTTTTTCCCCGAACAGGTGGAAGTGATGACTGGCTGCAGATTAAAGGAAGATCCTTCAATGTATCACCCTTATAATTACCATTCATACACAAATTATCAAAGGCTGACACCGTCTTTATTCATGTGTCTGTAATCCTATACTTCTGGTTTAATAAATATAAATTCTTAATGATTTGCAGAACCCTTATCTTGAGCATAGTTTGTAGAATACTTGAAAGAGTGAACATGTTTTAGCACACCTCACCCCTGTCCTGGGGTGAGAGTTCCTGTCTGCACCTAGTCGTCCAGTGTCACTGGGCTGGAACCCACATGCAGGGAGAAACTGAAGACCAGGCTTTGAACTAAGCCTATGGAGACTTGAGTTTCCCAGCCACCCCAGTGCTTCCCACACCACCAGTCAGGGCTCAGGAAGACCATTCTCTTCTCTTCTCATTTAGTCTTTGAGAGACTAGTTAGTTTCCATCTGTTAACTCTCAGCATCTCAATGATAATCAGATGAAAGGATCTTAGAAACTGGAAAAGCAGGTGGGGCCTTGTGTGGCTGAACCACACTGACTCCTTTTTGTCAGCTCCACCTTAGGCCCGCAGTCCCACCCTCTCCCTGTCCTGCATGGCTGACCTTCAATCTTCGCACAAGGAATGTGCCCAAGCCAGACAAAGCCCCTATCAAGTCTGACCCTTGCCTTCACCTGATATGAAAACTGGAAGAATGCCTTTTGCTGAGGCAGGTGATTGGTGGTCTCAAGACCCTGGGAGAAGGAAAACTGCGCAATGCCCATCAGTACAGACGTGCTGCTCCTAGATGTGTCCTACAGATGTATCTACATTTTTAGCTTTGGCCCCTTTAAATCCCTCTGTACCCCTCTCGGAGCTGGAGTGCAGATGCAAATGCCTCTGGGTCACTGTCCACCCACCGGATCCTGCCTGTATGTAAATTACCCACAGTAAACTTCATAATTGCACTTTATGAAGCTACCTGCTTTGTTTTTCGGTCTCAAAGCTCCTGCTCAGTCCAGAGGGAAGTATTCAGTATCTCTGCCTCCCAACAGACCCTGGAGTGCATAGGCCGGGCTGGTGTTGCAGATGTGCTTGTACACAGAGCATACTGACCTTGCCGCCAGAAGGTGGAAGTCGAGACACAGGGGAGCGGTAGACTGTCCCGGAAAAGACAGGCCGAATGCTGCTGTTGGCCGTAGCATTGGACATGGTGGTAGTGTTCAGCTAGGACAAGAAACAAGATTAGTGACATGAGACAACGTGCTGAGTAACCCATCCCTACACTACAGAGGAGTGAGGACGGGAAGCAGTCTAGAAAAGTGTTGAGTGTTCCATCCAGCAGGTGGAATTGTAAAATGGGACAACCATTTTGTTCCAAAAAGTTAAACAGACAACTATCCTAAGACGCAGCCATGTCACTCGGGTATTTATCCAAGAGAAATGAAAGCATATATCCATACAAAGACTTACACATAAATATTTACAGCAGCTTTATGTGTAGTAGCCAGATAGAAGCTAAATATAAATCAACACAGGCAACTAGATAAGCAAATCGTGGTATATACATCCAGTGGAATACTGTTCAAAGTAAAAAGAGTAAACTACTGACATAACACAGATGAAAAAAGCCAGACACAGAAGTATACACACTGTGTGATTCTATTCTATAAAATGTTAGAAAATGCAAACTAATCAATAGTGACAAAGCGAACAAAGCTGTGGTTGCCAGGAGCTGGAGGGGATGGGTGAGGGAAGCAAAGAGAATATAAGAGGGCAAAAGGAAACTGGGTGTGATGGGTAAAAATTTATAACATGTTTTAAAAATTTCATCACATTATTTTCCTAATAAAAAATGAAGTACCTAATATCAAACAATAGGGAACTAGTTTAATAAATGACAGAATGCCAAAAAAATAGAATATACCAGCTAATAATGAGCATATTTAAAGAAAGTTTAATTTTCTGAAAAAGCAGAAATCAAAATTATATATGTGATCTCTATTTTATGAAAATACACTATTTTAAAAAGCTTTTTATAAAAGCAGGAAAAACACCAAATATTCTCATTGGTGCTCCTGGAGTTATACATTATAGGTGATTTTTTAAAAACATTTTATATGTAATAAAGTATGAGTTGAGGATCGAAAAGGAAAACAGCACTCTTTATCAAAGAAAAGGTTTAAAAAAAAAAAGGATGGAAGGGAAGGACGGACTCCCCGATTTCCTGCTCTAGAGATTAAGGAGTATTAGCTATTCTATTTGCCAAGCATAAAAGTCTTCCTTCACACAGCGCCATGGTCACTTGTTGGAATTACAGAATGAACCTCTGAAGGTTTCCATCATTACAGAATGTTGGCAGCTGCCGGCACCCCCGAGTTTAATCGGAGACTAAACAGCTGACACACATCAAAGTCCAGCAGTTCGGGCAGCTCCGCCTCACCTTGCGCACTTTGCCCGGAGTGCTGGGTGCCAGTCCTCGCCGCTTGTTGGGTGTTCGCGGAGTACTGCCATAGAGCATCTCTGTCTCTGTCTGCTTCTTGTTCTTCAGTTGCTGTGCGAAAGTCAGGGGCAAGAATGATAAATCCCAGAAGGAGAGCAGCTCTGGGATGGGGCCAGAGGAAGGGCCAGAAATACAATGCAAGTGTCTACACCCAGAGCTAAAAAGAGCTGCCATGAGCTGCAACTTCTTTAGCCAACTTAGAGCCCTGGCAGACTCTGGGCTGCAAGCTCACTGCTCTTCCCCGCTTCCCAGGTCGGGCTCACTTACTCGTTCCTGCTTGGCCCTCTCCTTCTCCAGCCGGTGCATCTCCCACTGTTCCGTTACGTACTCCATGAATTTCTGCCCATTCACCACAAATGCCTTTGAATGCTCCTGTTCCCACATTTCAATCCTTGCTTTCAACTCCTCTTCCAACTGAGACCACAAACAAGGACATATTAATCATGGCAAATCTTTGATGTGAAACCTGAAAGAAATGATTCTTCCAAAGAATGCCTCTCCCCCCCTCAGAGTATCATTAACCTGACTTCAGGTAGCTGCACCCATATGGGAACAGGCCAAAGTGGCCAGAAATCAGTCTGGGCATGGTTCATTCATAACACACTTGAAGGTGGGAAAAGGTGAGAACCCAGAGCCTGAGCACTAAAGTTCTGCTGCGGGAAGCTGGAGGCAGCACTGGGGGAACCTGCAACAATAAGCAGGCAGTGTTCACGGAGCAGCACGAGCTGGGCTGCAGCCTGGGATCCACCCCTCACTGGCTCTGAAGAGGTGGGCAGCGTACTTAAGTGCCCAGTCCCTCAGTTTGCTCATCTGTAAGAATGGAAATAATGCCAACCTCTTAAGGATGTTGTGACGATTAAGTGAATTCATAAATGGAAAGCACTCTAAAATAGTAGCTGGCACTTAATTCAATAAATGTTAACTATTATTATTAAAATAGAGAATAGTAATGAAGTCCAAAGCATTTCCTCAAAAGGTCACCTTGTGTTATGGGCTCAATTCTGCCCCCTGCCAAATTCATATGCTAATGTCCTAATCCCCAGTACCTCAGAATGTGACTTTATCTGAATATAGATGTAATTAGTTAAAATGAGGTCATAAGGGTGAGTCCTAATCCAACATGACTGTAGCTTTGTAAGAAAATTTAAACACAGACATATACAGTAGGAGGAGTGGGTGGAGATACAGGGAGAAGATAACTGTGTGGAGGCAGGAAAGAAGCCTCAGAAGAAACCAGCCCTGCTGACACCTTGATTTCAGACTTCTAGCCTCCAGGACTGAGAAAATCAATTTCTGTTGTTTAAGCCACACAGTCTCTGGTACTCTGTTGTGGCAGTCCTAAAAACATAATAAAACTTGATATTCAGTTATCAAGGAATATTTGATACTAGGAAGACCCAGCTTGTACTTACTATCCTTGCCTAACCTTTGGAAGAGAATACAGTTGGGGGCAAAATGATTCAAAGCAAGGGATATATAAAAAGTAAGACATTTTGTAGCCACACACCAAACACTTTCAGCAACAATATTACCTTAGGGAGTGTTTTTTGGAGCTTGGCTCTCTGCTTTTCCTCTTTTAGAAGATTTCCTCCACGATTTGTAAATCGACTTGGATCTGAAGCTTTTCTCTGTGAAAAATACATTTTAATTAGAGTAGATGCCTGACAGTCAGTCACTTCTGCTAGAATCCATGCTCTCATAAATGGATGCATATTTGTAAGGAGACTTGAGAGATTTCATCCCCACCCACTCTGAGCAGTGAGACATGGTGGCTTTCTAAGGCAGGGAGTGGGGTGTGAATACTCCCAGAGAGATGCAATGTCATACACTGGGGTGCAGGAAAACTACTGTTTCATTTTCTAAAAGGTAAGACAGGCTTTAATATTTATTGCACAATGTCACTGGCTCCTTTCCTTGGTTCAGAGATCACCAAAGGGAAATGGGGGGGGGGGGTGCGGGGGACAAGCAGAAGGTCTACACTCAGAGGGCTTGCTGGTGGCTCCCCCACTTGCCCACTCCCACTGTATTAAGACAACACAGCTTAAATGTGCTCAGTGAAATGGTTTATAGATCATGTGATTTTTATTAAATTAACCCTCACAAAATGGACAAAAAATATAAAATGTTAGGCTTCTTATTCTTTTTAACTTTTCTGTTTTTAGTTACGTTCTACAATATATCAGAACAGTAAAGTAAGTATATAATTTATAAATGCAAATTAGGTGAATACACTAAAAAATGGGGCAGATAATCAAGAAAGTTTAGAAACAGTCTCGACAATTTGGGGGCCAAATTATGTTTCCTTTCCAGGCTGTTTGATTAGTAACTTTCTATAAGCATATCTAAAAGGAATGGTAATTAGTTTCTTATTTTTCCTTAAACATTGGCATGTAAACAAGGGTTGCATATTCGGTTCTATAAATTATAGTTGATTTACAGTATTATATAAGTTTCAGGTGTACATCACAGAGATTCACAATTTTTAAAGGTCTTACTCCATTTACAGTTATAAAATATTGGCTATGCTCTACAGTGTTCCATGCTGTACAATGTATCCCAGTGGCTTAGTTATTTTATACATACTAGTTATACTTCTTAACCCCCTACCCCTGAATAGTCCCGGTTTCCCCCTTCCCACTGGTAACCATTAGTTTGTTTCTATGTCTGTGAGTCTGTTTTTTTTGTTATATGCATTAGTTTATTTTATAGATTCCACATATGAGTGGTGTCTTACAGTAGTTGTCTTTTTCTCTGAGTTATTTCACTAAGCATAATACCCTATAGGTCCATCCAAGTTGTTGCCAGTGGCAAAATATCATTCTCTTTTGTGGTTGAGCTCTTTACTGACTTTCACTCCTCCTCCTCCTTGCTTTCTATCAGAAGTAAGGAGGAATGGAGGCCTAGAACACCTGCTCTTAAACAGCTGTGAGATCTCAGACAGTTTTCTCTACTTCTGAGTCCTAGTTTCCTGCCTATAAACTTATAGTTAAACTCTGGATTTACTAAAGGGCTGTTCCAGCTCTAACAGGACTGGTATGGACCTGAGAATAAATCTCATGAATTTCATGCCCGAGGAGCCTCTCTTGCCTCAACCCGGTCCCAGCTCTGAACTCTAAAATGCTCTAAGGGAACCTGTTTGTGCTCTCTATCAGAACAAAAGGAACTCAGAGTACACAAAGGTGCCCCAATAACCAGGCAATTTTCTAAGATAACAGCAAAAGTTTGAACAGTACAGAATGTTAGTTACCTGCCCCTACATCCATTCTTCTCTCCTTCCTTAGAAACAGACCCTGGATTTATCTACGGCAGCAGTTCTCCCAGCCTTGCCAGTAGTTGGTGTGGCATTTAAGTGGAGGTGCTATGAAGAGAGCCTGCGAAGGTCTCTTAGAGGGAAGGAGAGGCAACGCCTTTTGTGCTACCTCCTTCACACACTGTTTGAAACGCTATGGTTGGAGCTCCAGAACCACCATGGACCTGAGCTTAAGACTCACCCCTTAGTGGTGGAGGAGCTATAAACTGGAGAAGCCTGGGACCCCACTGACTATGGAACAGCCATACCTGCCTTGCACTTCCTACCTCTAGACTGCCTTTATGCAAGAAACTTCAGCCTTATTGAAAGCATTAATTTGAGGTTTTTCTCTTAAATGTTTCTAAGCTTGACAAATACAGATGGGTTGGCAGTAATTTACAGATATAATGATAAAACCTAGTAAAGAGCAAAGGAAATAGGCTCTGACTCCACGCAGAGGATGCTTGCTTACCACCACACTGTACTCTAAGGAAAATAGACAAAAACTAGGGCAGTACCTCAAACTCTAAGAAAAGCCTCCAGCTTTCTTCCCACTTCTGGACACCTTCAAAGAGTTCTTTGTGAACCTCATAGTAGTTTCTTAACCGCACGATCTCGGCATCATGGAGCTGGAGCAGATTTTCTGTGTAGTCCTCTGCAAGATACAGGCCCAGTAGTTTTAAGAAATCCCTACAGTGTTTAGTATCCCAATTTACTAATCCCTCATCCCCCTAAAATGGAAGCAGATTTTTCTCCCTTACAGTAAAAGTGATACACGAGTAATTGTATGCTGTAGCTAATAAAAGTCAGGTTTGTCACCATCAGCCTGGTAGGACTGGAGACTGACTAAGATGTAGAATAATATGACTAAGATTCTCAAAACTTCTGTCATCTTTTGCCTTGTCTTATGTTTCTTTCATATTATTTCTTTTCATGCTGCCCTATAGAGGGCTGAGTCACAGAAAATGTTCAGAAACATGGAATTCAGTAAAGACAGCAGCATCTTTATATTCAATTTAGATCAGAATTCCATTGGGCCCTTGGGGGCATACTCCTGGGCTCAAAAGTGGGCTCTGCCATTTACCTGCTATGTGTCTCTGGGTTAAGTTGTGCAACATTTATGTGCCTCAGTGTCCTTCCTCATCCCCTAACGTGAGTATTAAGTGAGCTAATCCTGTTAAGAGTCTGACATTGCACCTGGCAGCACAGAGTAAGCACCTGATAAACCTGAGCTTCACACCTATAGGCCACAGAGTTATACCGCTTCAGAGATCCCTCATTTCCCAACTGCATTTGCAAATGCTTATTTGAACAGGAATGGCAATTTATGCTGAATGGCTTGGAAATTTTTGCCTCTGTTCCAGAGGAAATACTTCCCAGTGAACGTCTGCACTTATAAAGCACAAATGGGCAGCCACATGAAGAGTGACACTTCTACACGAACCAGAGTAGTAAGCAGCGAAAGCCTGTCTCTGCTCCTGGCTGTAAAAACACTTGTCCCAGTGCTGAGCCACCTCCACTCGGATTGCCTCAATCACTTTCTTCATGTTTTGCATTTTCAGTTCTTCCAACCGATCCACTTCTAATTGCAGCTAAAACAAAAAGGCCTGTTAAAAGTGCTTGCCATACTTGTATATTTATGTAAATTTGCAAAATATTTTCCCCTTTTTTAATAAAGTGAAGTGAAAGTTGCTCAGTTGCGTCCAACTCTTTGCGACCCCATGGACTATAGTCCATGGAATTCTCCAGGCCAGAATACTGGAGTGGATAGTCTTTCCCTTTTCCAGGGGATCTTCCCAACCCAGGGATAGAACCCAGGTCTCCCGCATTGCAGACATTACCAGCTAAGCCACAAGGAAAGCCCTTTTAAATAAAATTACAACACAAAACCACAGTGGCAAGTCAACACTCTGTAACAATGATATCCTAGGAGCCAGAAATCTAAGAAACATACACCAAAAAATAACAGACGATTAGGCTACTGCCACCCTTTTCTGATGTTTGTCTTAAAAACAGGCTCACTCAGGACTTCCTTGGTGGTCTAGTGACTAAGACTCTGTGCTCCCAATGCAGGGGGCCCAGGTTCAATCCCTGGTCAGGGAACTAGATCCTGCATGCAACCAAGACCTGAGGCAAATAAGTATTTTAAAAAAAGAAAGAAAAAAACAGGCTCACTCAAGGCAGAAGCTGGTAAAGACATCAGTGTGTGCTCACGCTCAGTCGCTCAGTTCTCTGCGACTCTTTGCGACCCCATGGACTATGTAGCCTGCCAGGCTCCTCTGTCTATGGGATTTCCCAGGCAAGAATACCAGACTGGGTTGTCACTTCCTATTCCAGAGATCTTCCTGACCCAGGGATTGAACCCACATCTCCTGCACTGGCAGGCAGATTCTTTACCAGTGAGCCACTAGGGAAGTCCCAGAGACATCACACTTGACACCAAAAAGCTGACCCAGCGCCCTTAGGGTTCCTTACCGCTTTCCGGACCTTGGCCTTCGACCCAGTCATAACCGTGGCTACAGCTTCTCTTTCTTCTGCAGGTATTTGCAACCTATCCCAAAGCTCTCGTATCTGAGCACGCAGCCCCTCACACACTGCTTCATTTTGTGATTTTCGCACTTCCAGCTGTAGCAAGGAAAGCCAGTGGTTACAGCAATGACAGAGGCAGAGAGAAAGCTGGCCCTCTGGCTTTGCACAAAGATACATCTCTACCCCCATAGAGAAGAAGCACTTTCACAAGACTGTGAAGAGCTGTGTTTTCATGACTTCTGAAAACAAACTATAAGGCTGTCATTATGGTAGTAGGGTCTCAGATCTCCAAAATTAGGATTTAAATTTTAACTAAAAAAGAAATTTTTTTTTTTTTTTTCAGTTAAACACTAAACTAATTCAAATAACTTAGTTTTTCACCCAAATCCTGAATTTCATATTCTGAGAACTACATATAAATTAAGGTTTTTGTTTAAAAAAAAATTCAAGGTTGTATTTCATACAATACTCTCTTTATCTTAAACCGCAAGTTTTTCTTCCCAAATTGCTGGATACTGTGGAGATCCCAGGTCATAATCTGAGCGACATTACCTGCCGGAGCAACTTCTGTAGTGTGGCAATATTTTCCAGAGATAAACAGAAGGCTTCTTCATCTTCACACACCACATCTCTTTCAAAGCTTGTGTCCGGAGTGTGCTCTAATTCCTCCATACACAGTATGATTTGTCTCTTTATGTTAACAAACTCCTCACGCCTAGATGCCTATGAAAGAAGATGATTATAAGATATCTGGAGGAAAGTCAAATGACTTTTAGGACATATGAATGTTGACATAAAGCTATGACAAACCTAGACAGAATATTAAAAAGCAAAGATATCACTTTGTTGACAAAGGTCCATATAGTCAAAGCAATGGTCTTTCCAGTAGTCATGTATGGGTATGAGAGTTGGACTATAAAGAAGGATGAGCGCCGAAGAATTGATGCTTTTACACTGTGGTGCTGGAGAAGACTCTTGGGACTGCAAGGAGATCAAACTAGTCAATCCTAAAGGAAATCAG